AATAATCGTTAACTTAGGGTGAAGGTGACCGGAAGCGCTCCACACTGCGACAGTACGTCAACACAGCTTTGAACAGAAAAGAGAAAATTTAAATCGGCGCAGTGAAATGTTGAAAAATTAGCCGGGCCCAGAAAATGAACTTATTGGACGAAATTCACCGAAAACGCTGCGGAAACCAGTTCGCTTGTTACGGTGGCTCTTCTACGCCTCGCCTGAAATAGCGATGAGGTAAAGGCAAGGCTTGTCGAGTCGCTGACTGAAAACAACGCTACCAGAGGGATGGTCATAATGCAACGGCACAATAAAAGTGCAATCGACCGGCTGACCGACCGACCGCTGGTAAAACTAAAGCTAATGACGCGGCTGGCAAAGCTGAGCCGACCAGGTGGCATCTACAAGTGTCAATAAATGAGGTGGACCAATTTAAAAACTAACTCCTTTGAGAGACGATGGTCAGTCAGAGCAAACCTAAAAAGAATAGTAACGGAAGGAAATGCTTGCAAACAGATCCATCGATAACCGCGCTTGAACTTAAGACGCATGACAAAGTTGTATGAAAAGTTTTTACCGACTAGGACAAATATGGGCCTTTCTGCATGGCGGGAAAGCGATGGACAGGCGGGCAGCCGCTCGGTCAGAGGTGACGACACGACGCGGCGATCGCACCAAAGAATTAACAGATTACGAAGCGACGCACAGGTGCAGACGTGCACTACTGAGACATCCCATTCAACAGGTATCCATTGCGCTGTTGCCAGTATTCCAGAGACACACGAGATTTTCTCTGACGAACACTGGATATCGTGGTGTATAAGAAAATTGCTGACAATACTTTTAATGGCTGCAAAGAGTGGTAAACCGTCTCGTCTACTTTTTTTCTGAAACAAATTGTCAACGAACAACGGTCATTGGTTAAAAATAAGTAGAAACCTACGCCTAATCCTTGTCTTCGTGGATGGTGGGGGTATGGAACTTTCTGGGAAAAAAGAATACAACAGAAAAATGGAGTTACGTTTCAGTCGTCTTACTGCTGTCTCTGGAATAACATTATCATCTTCATCTCATCACTGCGCAAGCAAAGTGTGAATAACTGCATATTCATGAAGTCACGTTTCTGATGTTGTTGTGAAAGCATACACAAAATAATTGTATCTAAAACATTATTGGTAACAAGCTGGGTATCAGTCTCAACGATGGATTGAATGGATTGATGGACAGGGATAACAACGATGGAACGGCAGAGCACAAAAGTAGATTATGAGGTAAAACACCATCTAATGACATAACATGCTTCTTATATTCTATTCTCGGCATCCCAGTCACAGAGAGCAACGCCAAAAGTACGAAACCGCGTGAAAAAGCGAAGTATGACAGAGAATATATCCTAAGCCGGTAAGGTAGCCGTACCCTTTGTCACGATTTTAAATATGTCATTATTACAATTCCAGTACGGTAGCGGTTCAAAAAACTTATCACATGATTTCAGAAACAATGTTTGCAGAAGGTTCATGTATCTTAGCGAGCGATATTCTTAACTGACGTACCACCGAAATGCGGTTTACATACATGTACTATAACAGCTACGGAGACAGTTGTGAATCTTAGCTTGAACAACTTTACTAAGGTACTGTTCAATAGATTCTTTAATTTAAAAGCTTCAACTTTGAATCAAAATGAAATTCTCATCAGTAGAATGAGTTACGAGAAACTGCAAGGAGTGGAACATCAGACAAAACAATAGGTAAACTGTTCGAAACTGAACAAATAGCTAAAAGAGTGCGACTATAATATATTACGATAGAATGAAGGGCTTCCTGAAGGTGGGTCCTGAAAAATCTGAAAATGCAACAATGCAGTTAAAGATACCGTAATGTAAGTGTGCTATAAGGATTCTTAGGCAAAGGCTCAGCACTGAGTCCACTTCCGCTACCAATAACTTTCTAAAGACCTGGAACAAAGAGATACACATGCACAATAGTCATGTAATATAAAGCATCCAACAAAAACAAGGATGAGTGGAAACTAAAGCAGAAGCGTAGTCTGAAGTGCTAGAAACAGCAGGCTTCTTCTTAGCAAGAACAAGGTATGCACTGGAGAGAATGGAGAAATGCTAAGGAGTTGTTGAAAGTGAAGCGCCGTATGCCATCAAAAACTCTAGCATTCAGGGTTACTAGAACTGACCTGAAATGTCGCTTCGGCCAGACCGTTGCTAAGAAGGAAGATGGTAACAGTTATATTGCCTCACTGGTAAAACCACACCAGCAACGACAGTAATTCTCTATCGCTCGATGATCTAGACCGCTATTTGGACATGTCGACGTCATGCGAGCGAGCAAACCTCCATTCCACTGTAAGAATAATGAAAAATTAAGGTGCAACGAAAGAATCATGCTGCGGACAGTCAAAGAATAGATGTTTTGGTAGCTGCTATCCAGATGCATGAAATCCTTGAAAGACAGCCATAACTGCCAGCGAGTCATTTTAGGCTACTTAAACGTTCTGCTTCTAGGTGTAGTCGCAGACTATGTTGTTTACACACTGTTGGTTTCATTTGTTGTATCGATACGACAATACATTTATAAAAAGTACTGCAAATACAGAGACAGCAGCGGGCGACCAAACACTCGCAATCACAAAAAAGATAGCGAAAATTTAACAAACCGCAGGCCGCCAATCTTGATATTGAGGCTTGCGCAGTAT